ATTTGAGTCGAAGACAATCAACTACTGTGGAATAACCACGTAATGCCCATTCTACAAACAAGTAGTACTACGAGTAGTATGAATTCCATATGGTAAAGGTATTATACCGTACTCCCGACCTAGATACTTGCTAAAAGCCCATATATATACCGGAAACCGCTAGAGAACGCTGGGGGTCCCACTGAAGAGCCGAACCCCTCGCAGCTGTGTCACGCAGCGACAGAATATCGGCGAAACACGTGTCTGGGCTTTTAGCAAGTATCTAGGTCGGGAGTACGGTATAATACCTTTACCATATGGAATTCATACTACTCGTAGTACTACTTGTTTGTAGAATGGGCATTACGTGGTTATTCCACAGTAGTTGATTGTCTTCGACTCAAATGTTCATTGAAATTTCGGTTCTGACCCTAAAAAGTCATGTCCCGGAGATTTAACTCCAAGTTCTGCACTGATTAATTTCTGAAATTATTCGCCTGATATATATATATATATATATATATATATATATATGTCTCTGGTGGCGGAACACTGCGCGGACTCTGGACACACTTTTGCCTTCCAGAACGCCAAAATTCTGGGTCGAGGCAATGACCGCGTAGCCAGGGAAACGATCGAGGCCTGGCACACGGAGACAACCTCAATAAACCGTTGTGTCGCCCTTCCGACAGCCTACCAAGCCCTCCGGACGCAGCTCAACGAACTAAAGAGCAAGCGCGAAGTCAGGCCGGACGTGAATCCAAACACGGGAGAGCCTACGACGGACCTAAACGTAGCCACACCGCAAATCGGACCCGGCGAAGGCGCAGTCATCAATACTGTTGCCTCAACTACTACTCCGGCAGACGGGGAGAAACGCGGTCAGAGGGATGCAATTAAGACTAGCAACCCAGCACGACAATTAAGGTCAACGCGAATGCGGGCGATGGCCACCAACGTTCAAATGCCGCCCTCCGACGAGTGACAGGCAGATTGACAGCAGTCACCCTCCCTCCCGCTCTGCCCCGGCGACTACAGAGACGATCCCTGTGCGTATGCGGGC